CCTTTCATGACTGGTGAACTTCAACTCCCAGAATTCCTGAGCCAACATGGGGGAACTATGACCCTTTCATGACCAACTCCCAGAATTCCTGAGCCAGCGCGAGTCCTAAAATGGCCATTATTCCCCATCCTGTCTCAGGAATTCTGGGAGTTGAAGTCTAAATGTGCTACAGGGGGCAAAATTCCCCACCCCTGGCCTTGGGTAGTCACTTCTGGTGATCCTGCTCCACACAGGCCCAGAGGCATCCCTCCTGCCCCCTGCCTTCCTGTTTGGGGGAATTCTGGGAGTTGAAGTCCACCCCTCTTAAATCTGCCGCCATTAAAGCCATGCCCATGTTTATTCTTGAATTTCCAGAGCTTGGAATCAAAGCCGGTCAGATCCCGCAACATCTGGAAGAGCCATGATATCTCCAAAACCATGGGGTGGGGAATATAACATTTTGCGGTCTAAATTTGCCCCCCAGCCCCACCCCAGAAGCACCCCAGTTCCTCCTCCCCACCCCACCCAGAACCTACCTGGGTTCATGGTGATAAAGATGCCACAAGACCACACCAGGTTGATCTCGTGGCCTTCGAAGGTGAAGCGGGTCATGTTGGCAGCCAGAGCAGACAAGATGGAGAGGATTTGCTGGGCCACCACTGAGAGGACCTCGATGTTGATGCGGTTGAATTCGTCAAAGCAACCCCAGGCTCCCGTCTGTGGGGGGGCAAAGCAGCGGGGTTCAGCCAGGAGATCTCCCCCCCACCCAGGTTCAACCAGGGTCTCCAGCCTTGGCCGCTTTAAGACTGGTGGACTTCAACTCCCAGAATCCCCTCAGACAGCCATCTTGACTGGGGGATGCTGGGAGTTGAAGTTCATGCAATTTAAAAAGTACATAGATTGATACAAATTGTTCTAGGACAAGGAGCTCTTCCAACCTTGGCCGCTTGTGGACTTCAACTCCCAGAATCCTCCATCCTGCCATCTTGACTAGGGGATTCTGGGAATCAAAGTCCATCCATCTTAAAAAACCACATAGATTGAAAAACTTCTAGGACAGGGGTTTCCAACCCTGGCCACTTTAAGACTTGTGAACTTCAACTCCCAGAATCCCCCAGCCAGCCATCTTGACTGGGGGATTCTGGGAGTTGAAGTTCATGAAATTTAAAAGATACATAGATTGAAAATCACCGTTCTAGGAGAGGGGTTTCCAACCTTGGCCGCTTGTGGACTTCAACTCCCAGAATCCCCCATCCAGCCATCTTGACTGGGGAATTCTGGGAGTCGAAGTCCGTACATCTTTTAAGGGAATTGTATTCTGGGAGTTGAAATTCATACAATTTAAAAGATACATGGATTAAAAAACGCTGTTCTAGGACAGAGGTGGCCGCTTGTGGACTTCAACTCCCAGAATCCCCCAGTCATCCTGGGGAAAATGAGGCGATAACAAGGCTTCCAAGTTTCCCTCCTGTTTCAAGACCGAAAGGTGTCCACAAAACTCATCCAGACCCAAGTCGTCCTTAACTTACAGCCATTTGTTTAGTGACAACAGCCCTGAAAAATGTGACTTAGACCCATTTTTCAGAGTTACGACTGTCGCGGCCTCAAAATTCGGAGGCTGGGCAATTGACTCGTATTTATGACCTTCCCCTGGGGTCATATGATTCCCCTCCTGACAAGCATTGTCAACGGGGAAGCCGGATTCATTCAAGAGTTGTGTGACTTACTTAACAATAGCTGTGATTCACTTAACGACGGTGGCAAGAAAGGCTGTAAAAGGTGGCCAAATTCACTGCTCACTTACCAACCGAAATGTTAGGCTCCATTTTGTCATTAGTCAAGGACTATCTGTATTTAGATTTACTATTACTATTAAATCTGGGCAGTTTATCTGAGAACAGAATTAGCTGGCTATACACCAGTCAGGTAGTCCTCAATTTGCGACAGTTCGTTTAGTGACCGAAGTTTATAATGGCCCTGAAAAAAGCAACTTAGGGCTGTTTTTCATACTTAACGACTGTTGCAGCATCCCTGTGGTCACCTGGCCAAAATTTGGATGGTTGGCAACTTACTCGTATTTATGACAGTCGCAGCATCGGGGGGGTATTACGCGATCCCCTTTTGTGACCTTCTGACCAGCCATGGGGAAGCCTGACTCACTTAGTGACCATGCTGCTAAACTTAACATTTGAGAAATAAAATGAATTTCCAGAACGGTGTATCCTTTCTGCGATGATTCACTTAACAACGGGACATAAGCTGGAGCAAAAGCTCGACTGAATTTATCCAATTTATCGGTTTGCCCATCTGGCCGCGGGGTAACGCCGCTTTGCCGCTGCCTCGTTCAGCGACAGAAATTCTGGCCGCCGTTAAGTCGAGGACTGACTCACCTGGGCGAGTCCGGAGTACATGCGCCCCATGGACTTGTAGTCAAGGCCCTCTGAGCAGTTCACCACGATCACGTACATGCCGAGCGCTTTGCCCAGATCCTTGACGGTCTCTGTCTTGCCGGTGCCTGCAGGGCCCTTTGGGGACCCTCCTCGGTGCAGGTGGAGGGCCGTGGTCAGCGTCATGTAGCACCTGAGGGGGCGGGCAAAACCACAATGACCCAGGGGCCTTGGCTTTCACCGCAGGCGGACAACCGTTCATTTAGTGACCATAATTAAAGGGGTGTGGTGGCCTAGAGGGGGAGGTCGCCCTTCACAATCAGGAGGCTGTGAGTTCGATCCTAGGTAGAGGCAGATATTTCTTCGCCTGAGCACAATGAGAACACATCTGCTGAGTATAACTCCGCACTGGTGACAGGAAGGGCATCCGGCCAGTAAACATTCAGCTCCAT